GACAGCGCGGGGAACCTGCCTGCCCATGCACCGAAAAAGCAGCCTCACAGGCCACATGCATACGCAAGGCCCTGAGGAAACCTGGCCGGTCATATGCTGAGCACTCACTGAACTAAGCGGACGCCTGTGACTAGAACTACAAAGGACACATTTACAAACAAGCAATAGTGCCGTAAGCCACAGCAGCCTCGGTGTCAAAAGAGCAGAACATGATACCAGAAGTGTCATTTAAAATCTTAAGTGTTCAAGAAAAGTAACCAAACTTTCAAAATTACTAGACAAACAAAAAATCAAAATTATATACTGTTCAAAGAAAAGCAGGCAGTATCCTTTAAGAAGAATAAATATTGAGCTTTATTAAATAAATTAAATCAGCTTTATGACTACATTAAGAAAACTGAAGGAAGCCATGGCTAAGGAACTAATGAGATGTAAAGTAATAACTTAGCAAAAAAGAATAGGAAAGAAGTACAAAAATTATGTTTTGAAATAACCAAACAAGTTCTAGCGTTGAGAGCATGACAAGTGAAGCAGAAAGCTGCATAGAGCTGCTCCAAGGAGAACGTGAGCTGGCGGAAGAGCCAGAGCCTTCCAGCACAGGGCGGTGCAGAACGCTAGTAGGAGAAAAGTAGGGAGAGGAGGCGGTGATGGAGCCTCCGAGAAGTGTGGCTCGCTCATTCAGACGCGGGAAGAGCGCCCGAAGTGGAACAGCTGCACGGAGCATTCGCGAGCTAGCAGTGGATAGTCCCCCTAAGCTGACGAAACATGGTCATTTCATATCCAGAATCTTGACACACTGCAGGTAGAGCAAACTTATAAAAATAGAAGGCAGACATTTCAGAATCAGTCAGTCAAAACCAAAAAGAGAATTTTCAAAGCTGCACAAATGAAATTACTGATACCATGCAGAAGTTTCTTAGGACTAATAGCAGACTTTCATTAGGTTCTATTTAGGGCGGAAAACATTTGAGCAGCATACTAAATTAATCGTGAGCAGAAAGAATAATACTTCACACTATGGAATTTCAAAATACACTGTAAAACCATAGTAGCCAAGATAGCATAGCATAGATATAAAAATATGCAGGAACTAATGGCATAAAGACCAACATTCACAGCCACCTGATACCGAATGACACATCAGGAACATACACTGAGAAAAGGATTGTCTTTTCAGAGGATTGAATTATACTAGGAAAACTGGATTTCCAATTCAGAGTGATGAAAGTAGTCTTCCATCTTTAGTAACCTACAAAAATAAACTCAAAAGTGAAATAAGTACTTGAGTATAACTCAGAACTTTCCAACTTCTAGAAGAAAATGGCCTTATCACTTTGGTTGGAGCTAGGATCTTTTGTGTAAGAATTTAAAAGCAGTGGCAGAAAAAACAAAAACTGTATCAAACTTAACAATCAAGAGTTAAAGAGAGTAGAGAGAAAACCTAGAGAATGGAAGAAAATACTTGTGACTCTTGCAACCAAGAGGTGGGTAATATCCAGAATAGGAGGGAACATAAGCCAGGAGCAAACATTAGATTACAAAACGAGTAAAATATGTAAATATGAATTCATTAGAAAGCAAATGATCAAAAGATATTTTAAACTATTAAAATCACTAATAGAGATATGCAAATCAAAAATACAATGACATCATGACCTCCAATTAGAAAAAGAGACAGAAAATAAATGCTGGCAGAAGTGTAGAAAAGAGGAACAATTAAGTTCTACTGATGAGAAGGAAAATTCGTAAATTCGTTTTGGAAAACATGAGGGTTCTTCATAAGGTTAAAATAACAACAACCTATAGTCCCCTTATTGGGGAAATGAAATTAGTATTTTGCATCAAGATTACATTCAGTTTATGTTTCTGCATCGATAATACTGTGTTCCTTATTTTGTGTACAAAAGTTTTTCAAGAAACATTTGTTGATGAATAAATGAAGAAAGTGGTGTAAACGTGCTATAATTTCTTTCCTAGTCCTGAATGTTAGAGGCTTTTGATATAATGTTTGTATTAAATCACAATAACTCCAGTTGAGAAGATATGTGACAGAGTAGAATGATTGCACAGTTGCTCAAGGTGAGAGCAGGAGGTCTATGAATTAGACTTAAGTACCCAAACTTAGAGGGCCTTGAATGTGCAAGTCAAATGATTTTTACTGTAGACATTTTTAGATTGGGTTATGATTCTAAATCAGTATGGTTATGATTCATGTTTATTTCAGACCTGGTTCATCTTGAATTAGACACACGTGGAAATAGCCAGATACATGGTTTTAAATGTACAATATTTGGACTTGTATTCTTACAGTATCCATAATCTCCAGAAAGGGCATTCTGTAGACATTCCTGATGTTAATATTTCTAATGTCATTTTGTGAAAATTATACAGTTATTGAGTTAAATTTTTTTACTGTATGTCTAGACACTATTTTTAATTAGTGTAGCAAACCCATGTATTTATATTTATAATTTAGATTTTTCTTACATCTGCATTTCTCATTCATTTAAGAATTATTTTTGTTATTGATTATTCTACCAAAATGGGTTGTTGAATGCATATTTTCACTTAAATTTATAAATTTTTCTGTTAATAACAATTCATTGTAAGTTAATTGAGTATTTTAGCTTTTTAATATTGGAATTGCTTTTACTGTTACATCATTTGTCCTTTAATGTGCAGAGTTAACTAAAAGCAGTAAAATTGAATTTTAAAAACTGGCTAAGTACACTATAAATTGTTAACCCCCCAGAATAATAATAATCTTTATAGCCGATTTGTAAGATAA